CCCCATTACCCACAGTCAGCAGTTCCGACGTCTCATTTAACACGTCATTTGGCTATGGTACTACCACTTCTGTGCCCACAATGAGCACAATAATTTTTAAAGTTTTGCTGGTGCAAGAACTTAATTTAGTAAGGATTAATAACATATTATAGATAAACAAATTTGTTCACTTTCATGGGTTTTGTTCATTTGCGTACGCCATGTGTAATCATAGTAGGTTAATTTCAATTGACTACTTACTACTTTTTGGGACGTAACCCTAACACGTGATAATAGAAAACAACGTACGCGTCTGGTCCGCCATTCATTTCTTGGCCTTTTTGTGTGCACATTTTGATGTCTTTTTCAAAATAACTGAAGGTAGGTAATTAGGTCTTCTTGACTACACGAGGCAAGTTCGAGTGGTTGAGGACCCCATCCCCCTTTCAACAAACCCTCAACCACCAACCCTCCAAAAGGAAAGGAGCAAAAAAAACCTCAACCACAAATACAACAAAGACAAAAACGAACCAGTTCAAGAGTCTGCAGGGGAGGGCAAAGTTTTGTTAACATAATGGTGCTCTCTGCGAAATCAGCTCGCTGTCCCTTTCGTTGTGTGGTTGAGAGTGTTGACGGTTATTGGGCCGTCAGTGGAGAGGGGACAACGACGATACCAAAAACCAAAAATCAAGCAAAAAAAAAAGTAACAAATAATGAATTATTTTCATCTCTGTAAACTAAGATTTATGAAACGCAGGAATGCGCTTTTGCTCCAAGATTTGCCTCATTACTCAATTCTCGGGCCTAGCAGTGAAGGGGTTAAAGCCCTGGTCACGACACGACAATCAAATGTCAAGAGTTCGTTACTCCTGGAGCCCACTTATTTCAAGAATATAAAAAAAATGAGGCACATCAAAGGAAATATGTAGGCTTTATTAGCGCACATGTTTTGTTGTACCATTGAGAAAAAAGGTTTTTGATTACTGTATTTATTGTAGGCAAAGTATCGTTAAGACTTATACTAAGCACTTAAAATATTCTAAACGAGTAAAATGCCTGACTACCCCCCCCCCCCCCCCCCCCGACATACACACATCTTATCGATTTCTAAATGTGAGAGCATTTCCACCATTGCCTCAGTGTTCACAAATGTTTTGAAACTGAAATTGTTTTTATTTCACCGAGACAGTATTGTGGATTGCTGTTTGCCCTGTCGAATACACCTTTCTCCAAATTGATTACAACTTCCGGGCTGGGAAACAGGGAAACCTGAAAAAAATCTAAATGCATTAATTGCTTTCTGATGCAGGACTTAACTCGATTCTCCACAAAGTGGATAAAATACTTCTCAATTTAGCTGAAACCACTTGGCCATCATGAACGATCCCCCCCATCTGTTTTCGGCAAATGGAGTTTTACAGTTAACCTCCACATAGCCATTCTCATTCAATCAATTTGACTATTGAAATGATCTTGACGCACTACACGCTGAATTCACCCCCCCCCCAAAAAAAAGAAAGAAAAATAAACCCCTGATGATTGGAATTTTACACCAAGAACAGATAACACACAAATTACACACCAATTTCTGTGTTGTAATATAGTTTTTTCAGATCAAATGTACACATAGGAAATACAAATGCCACATAGCAAGTTCAAATGCCGCATAGAAAGTTTCACGCCACATAGAAAGTTCAAATGTACAATAGGAAATTTTAGTGCACAGTTGTGCGTAACATTCAAATGTACAAATAGCAAATCCAAATGTAACACAATAGCAAGTTCAAATGCCACATAGCAAAAGCAAATATCCCCCCCAAAGATTATTCAGCGTGAAAAGCATTTTAATGTGCTCAAACTGAGTTGACGACAACCATAAACAGTTTAATTTTAAGTTGAATGGATCCTCATTAAAAAAAAAATCCTGAGGATGCTCCCGCGAAAAGAAATTCAAATAGGACTGAAGCAACTAGACATCAATATGCAGCATGGCTGATGCAGAACATTTAGCGGTATGAATTTGCCTTTATTGAGGAAGCTGGTAGCAAGCCGTTGACGAATAGAAACCAATGAAGAGCACGGAGTGGTCATTGCTTTGTTCGAGTAAGGCAGGGTCGAAGGGGACCAAACCGCACGATGCCATAGGGGCATCAGGATGATAGATGTTGGATATGAAAGAAAGAGCAAACCACACAAGAGCACCTGCCAACCACCAACTTAGCCTCCTTTTACTCTAGTTCAAGCATATTTACATTTGAACTTGCTATGTGGCATTTGAATTTGCTATGTGTTACATTTGAGATTTCTATGTTTACATATGAACTTGCTATTGTTGTATTAGGACTTTTTATGACGTCATTTGTATATTTGGATTTGCTAGGTGTAATTTGGTCTTTCTATGCGGTCTTTGAATTTCTTATGTGTATATTTGAACTGTAAAAACTATATATAGTAGGGACGGCTTCGTTGCACAAAAAAACAGGCGAGTTCGATTCCCGTAGAGGGAATTTATGTTATCGCATACCTCTGTCGATGTGCTGGGATATTGTACAACATAATTATAATACTGATAATAATAACAATTACAATAATAATAATAATTACAATCAGGATAATGATATTAATGATAACAACAACAACAACAACAACAACAACAACAAAAATAATAAAAACAATAATAATATGAATAATGATGATGATGATTACGATGAAAATGATGATAATAATAATAATAATAATAGTAATAATAATAATATAATAATAATAGTAATAATAATAATAATAGTAATAATAATAATAATAATAATAATAATAATAATAATAATGATAATAATAATAATAATAGTAGTAACTGCAATATGATCATAGTTCGTGTAGCATGAACTGATGATGACCTTTAACACCCAAAGAGGACGAGAAGTTTTTGACCCATCCAGCATGGTAAAGAGAATAAAGGAAATGAAATAACAGCAAGCAGTGTGTAACTGTAATGATCACAAACACCATGAAAATTACACCTCTCACGTAAGGGTGAATTTGTTAATTTCCACAAATAAAGATGATTATTTAATGGAAAGCTACGAGTTTTAAACAAGGCTATGATTCTTCTGTTCCAATACCGTGGGAGGTTGATGATCAGCTGTTTCTTGAAACGGAATTGTAAGGCAGCGTAAATTATACTTATGACATTTTTCTTCCTCTGTGTTCTGCACAGAATGATCAACAAGCCTACTTTTTAGTGCACTGAAGAAAAAAATAGGTTTTTAACTCTAGTAGCTCAGTTGACTTTACCCTGTCCACTGGAACAATATAATTCCAAGTAATATTTCTTGGGATATGTCATTGTCTTAGTGAATAAGTCTGCACCAGAATTTAATGACACATGGCATGTTATCAGAACATAAATTGGTTCATCCCGCTTCTCTCAGAACAAAACACTTGGATGTAGCTTTGCCAAGACCCCGAAAAGTTTTCCAGAATTTTATCTGAACATTGTCAATCACGTCCTAATTTTTGGTACTTCAAATTTCAGAGCCATAAAGCAGCATTGGTTTAATCTTAAATAAAAAATGTTTGTTTTTTTGGCTGTTTGGAAATTTAGTTCTTTTTATGAACCGAAAAGCTTTTTTTGCTCGAGAAACAATCCACTGAGCTTTACAAGCTCGGTCTTCTGGTGTTCGGTAAGTTGGTTTTTCATGGCTCTGCTTGTGGCATTTATGCGATACTGGTCTTTTTTAGAACAAGAGCTTTTCACAAACAGAGGTCTTGTGGTTTGTCAGGACAGTGTTAGTGTCAGGGGTTGATTGTCTGTTGTAAAATGTATAAATATAATTAGACTATATCACATTATTTACTCCTCAGGAGTTGACAGTCTATCATTAAATGTATACATATTTTATCACTTTATTTATTTCTTAGGAGATAAATAATATCTGTTGTTTTAATGTATACATATTATACAAGTACATCGCATTAGATATTTCCCAGGAGTTGACAGTTGTATTGTATACATATCATATTATGTCATTATTTACTTCTCAGGTTGACAACGTAACAAGAATTGAGAAGTGTTTCACGGTACAGCTGTTTTCGGAATGGAGACCTGTGGAGTACCGACGCTTACCTGTGTCTTACTTCTGCTTTTCACAGGAGGTAAGCTGGGAGGGTTCAGGGAGGTTTGTTTTGCGGAGGTCGGGTGGAGTGGGAGTAGTGTAGGGTGGGGTTAGGTGGTGAATGGGAGTGCTGGAGGAATTTTTTGTTGTGGGGGAGGGGGTTATACCGTATCTCATGGGCACTTATCTATTCAGAATTCAGAGTCTACCCTTCTTATGCCAACGAACTCTTGATCCTTTTTAATGCATCTGTTACATATTCCCCAACCCCACAACCCGTGGCTGTAATGTCATAACTAGGGTCTTCGCATAATGCGTGGATTTCTGGGTGAATTTAAACGCCTCTGATAAGCAAATCACTCACTTCATATTCAGAGCAATTAGAGAGACAGAGGAGTGTTGGCGTTTTAAATTTTCTTCTTCTTAGTATTTTCTCATTGTTTATTTTATGTCTTCATGTTAATCTATGTTTCATATCAAAAGTTGTAATCCTTTTTTGCATCTTATTCATTACAATATAAATCAGGCATCTATGATTTGTTGCTCCTAAACGTGTCTTTAAGCTTAATCACATAGATCTTCCAACTGCTGGTGAACTATTCCTATTTACCCACCTTCTCCTCACGAACGTAGAGGGATCTTTTTAAAAAGCGCTACACTTCGATCAAGCCTTTTCTATCAAATGGCACTTAAACATGTCTCTTTCATGCACAGAGTACTTTCCCCGACATGTCAAATAAGTTTTCCACCCTCTCCATTCCACCTTTTAAAACAAGATCTTATACATCGATGGAAAACACATTTGCAAAGACTTCTAAAGTTTGCTTATCCCGGTCACAAGGCATGTCTTGACTTGGCTTCTTGAAGTAAATCAATTTTCAGCAATTAGACTTAGAGTGCCAATATCCATTTTTGTATTGTGAAAACCCGAAGTCTATTCCAATTTGATTTCGCTTTATGTCACACATCACACACTTTAGCGTCTATCAAAGACAAGATCTAGGGTTTTCAAGTCTCATTTTAAGTGGTCGAGGCTATAACACTAATTTGACAAGCCGGAAATAAAGTTAATAATAACATGCTGAAAGAACGAGCGCACTGTGAACAATGCGCACTCCAGAGAAAATGTAAATTATGCAGATCTTACGGCCTCATTTGGGAGGTGGGCTGCTTGCTTCGACACTGTCTATCAGGGCTAACCCAGGCTGAGATGGATTCAAGGCCTTAGAGAAGAAAATCGGAAATTCTCGATTTGACCCCCCCCCCCA